GGTGCCCTGGGCAGTACGTGTGGGGCCAGGTCCCCAGGGATGATGCTGTGCCCAGGTGTTCCTGCACCTCTTGCCCCATTACCTGGGCATGCACATGCCGGAGGAGACACCGGGGCCACCAGGAGCCGCCCGCAGACGCAGCTCCCTGGGGCTCATGGTGAAAGCTGACGAGTACATGCTCTGGAAAGCCCGCACCGAGCTGCTCTTTGAGAAGCAGAAAGAGAGGGATGGGCTGATGAAAACCGTGCTGGAGAAGATTGGTGAGTGCCCCCAGTGGGCTGGCACCTCCCCGCAAGGCTGGGTGTTGTCCCTGGTAGCCAGGCACCCACCAGTGCCCACTGTGTCAACCCTGCTGCCCACAGGACGCAGCCTGGAGAGCGGCAGTGCCCAGGACTTCTGCCAGAGCCTGGAGGAGGCAGGGCCCGAGATCCTTGCCTGTGTGGACGCCTGCAACCACATCGCCAATGCCACACGGGAGCAGAACGACTTCAGCAGCGTGAGTCAGGGCCAGGGGGAGGAGGGACCCGCATGGGGGACGCAGGGCAGCCCTCACCCCCCTCCCTGTGCTGCTGGCAGGAGAGCGAAGAGTGGATGCTGGTGGGACGGGTGATCGACCGCGTCTGCTTCCTCATCATGGGCTCCCTCTTCATGTGCGGCACCTTTGGCATCTTCCTCATGGCCCACTTCAACCAGGCGCCCGCCCTGCCCTTCCCCGGGGACCCCAAGCAGTATCTACCGCAGTGACGTCCACCAGCCCTCCTGCTGCTGGGACCACCAGTGCCAGGGGGCCCCCAAACCAGTCTGCTCGGCTGAGACCCCTGTGGGCACAGCAGCCCATGGTGCCAAGCACAACGCTGGATGAGGACTGGGGGTGGCGGGGCTCTGCCACCCCCCAGCAGTGGTGGTGATGGGGAAGGGGGGAACGCGGGGTGGCCATGCTGTGCTGAACATGGAAGTAAAGCTCATGGCAGTCTCAAGCCTCCGTGGCATCACTGCTGCATTCCCAGCGATGGAGTTTGCCTTCTCAAACAGACTGGGTATGATCTAAGGGCTGGGACAGAGGGCCCTGGCATCCCTCGCTATGGCAATGGGGGCAACAAGGCAGGGATCACAGACACAGCTCCCCATCCTGGGCAACAGTGGAGCCATAGATGGGATTAGGGACAGCTAATTCCTCCCTCCATTTATGTCCTGGCCATAGCCCTTGTGGGCAGCTGAACTGCTGTCCCTGCTCCCCAGCAAGCAACTAGCTGCTGTGGGGAGACCCTGGGCCCACCAGGCACTCAAAGCCCCTCAGGGATGGGTGCCTCTTGGCACCCACCCTGCTATGAGCATCATTACATGACTCCCTCTCTCACCAGATCATCTCTGTCAAGCACAGCCCTTTCCCCCATCCCAGCAACACCGCAACTCCCCCGTGCCCCTCACTGACCTCCGGGGCCCCTGTGGCTTTGTCTCTGCTGGCGGGGGAGATGCTGAAGGTCAGCCTGGGAACGGCAGCGAGCAGCGTCTG